TCTTCCCCATCTTTTGGTAGGTGACAAAACTTGACGAGGCAGAAGACTGAGCCGAATCAGAGTCATGGCTACGACTTCGTTCCGAGATTCTGTCAACTCATTGGGCTGGTCTCGAAGAGATGCGGATCTACCAGCTCGTACTAACACTTCCTCCACCCCCTTTCTATCGAAATTACAGTCACTGAATCCGTTCGGCCAAGGAGAGGGCTATTTGCGACTGCCCACTCACGAAGCTCCAGGGGCTCCTCTTCCAGCCCCAACTCGACGGGAGGAGGAAGAAGGTTTCTTTGCCCGTAAGTCATCCTCGCTCATGACCGAGATATCCGGATCACCGCCCTCCTGTGTGGGTTACTTCTCCTGGTCCAGGTGACTGGGACTCAGTTCCTGCATCTAGGTCGGTTTCACGCAACGTCTAGTGGCCGCGGATACCTTTATTTGAGTTGGGTTTTTCAAGCGTACTGATCAACATTGTCCTCGCTAGTAAGCCGATGGGATCGGATGCTCATATTCATCGCCTGCAACCTCGGTGCCGCAGTGTGCTTCATGATTTGCTTTTTCCTTTTTCCAGTGCTATCGCTGAAACCCCGCAAGTTTGCCATTTTGTAAGTGCCATTCCAGAACCCGCTAGTGACTATCATCCACCCTGCGCCCGCCTTGCATTCTTCCCAGCAACCTTAAAGGAGGGGCACGAGGCGGTGCAGCCGTTGTCATGCCGTGGCTGGGGGCCGTGTAGTACCCTCTGCTGTGACTGATGATATCGCGGTCTCGGTGCATCCACAAGAATATCTTGGTTCCGTGGCTTAGACTGACCCCAACCGGTTTTGATCCTAGATGGTCTGTCGGTTCTCTGCTCTTTCTACTATCATGGGCTGTCCTCATGGGACCCCTGGTCTACGCTAAGCATTTGGTCTCGGGATCACGGCTACCATTTACTGCCGCCTATTTTGGCTCGATTGCCATGACTCTCTACTTCGCTATCGGAGTAAGTGCCTTGATTTCCTCGTTTCTATGCGCCATTGCTGCCGCGATGACCGGGATTGGCGGCTTGATAATGTCCCCCTTGCCGTAAATAAATTGCGGTGCATATGCAAGTCAGCGTTCTCATTCCTACGATGACATCACTCTGCACCTTCGCTTCCCTTGTTATGAGCTCTCGGCCTTGTGGTTGCATCGTACAGACCTCGATTAGGGCCATGCCCCTGATTGTCGACTGCTTCTTGTTCTGCTACAGTCCATCTTTCCTCTCGCTTTGGCACTAGCATCCTCATCTAACGGCAATGGAATATTTGCGTGATAAGGCTACAGAACTACTGCTGACCTCTGACTCGAAACAGCTCCACTCCACCCTCCTAACACTCATTTCATCAATTTTCCAGCTTGCAGCCCTGGCCTGGTATCTGGTCAGTTATTTCCCCATGGGTAGCACCGGACTGCAATTCATGGGACGATTCGGAGCACAGCGCGTCGGAGCCTGGATGACCAGCTGATATCTTTCCCCTATCATCTTCTGTTCACATTCTTGGATGCTACTACTGTACTGCTGACGACTGTGTACTATTTTGGCGGCTTTCGTAGCGTATGTCTGCACTGCATGAGCTTTGCCTACCTGTCTGGGTCCGAGAGCTTCTGATACATCTACTATGAGGATGGATTTGATGACTTTGTACATGTACCGTACCCTTTTTCATGGATACCTATTAGACTTTAGAGCAAACCCGTCAATCGAATTATTCGAAGACTTATTGCTTAAACAGTCGGAAGTGACCTTGCGAAAGGCCTGGGAAGCATAATCATTAACTGCTAGTATTCACTACGTTAGTTTAAGTCTACTCTGACGCTGCCGCAAGTGAAGAAAATGCATAGCAAAGAATACGTAGTTTCAGGTCGCTGACAATCCCGTCCCCTGAGTAGACTCATTACATAACCTCCATCTCATTTCAGCAACTTCCCCCGACTCATCACCATCCCAACTGAGCCCTGCACAACCTTGACGCCGGGAATCTCCGCCTCCCAGATCCCAGTGTCCCCGCCCGATCCAACCTCCAACCACCGCTTCAGCAAGTCATTGCTCTCCTTGGGCTTGACCTCCGCCGAGGCGGTGCCGACGGTGACGTGCGGGATGGGGTTCGCACACGGCCAGTCGGGCTGCTCGCGGTCCTCGGGGGGCATGATGCGCGCGACAAAGGCCATGATGCGGTCGTCCCAGATGAGACGCTCAAGGCGGACCCGCGCAGGCGCCAGAGTTGGAGTCAGGACAGGGGTTGCGGTCTGGCCCTGGGACTGCTCCTTCATTTTGGCGATGTATTGGTTCGCGTAGCGGTCCCAGATATCGACGCGCTCGGTCTTGCTGGCGCGGTGGATGAGGGTGACGTGGAAGGTGGACTGGAGACGGCGCGAGTTGACGAGATGATGGTACAGGCGTGCCTTTTCCGGAGGTGTGGAAGGTGGGAAGAGCGAATGTAGGAGAGTGGTGACTTCGGCGGTTGGGATAGAGATGCAGAAATATTCGATCTTCTGGACTAGGGCTTCGGGGCTTGGGGTGGGTTCCTGGGGCTGGGCGTGTGCTGCGGTCGGCGCACCGCCATTCTGACCCTTGTTCTTGTTCGGATTCTGTCTTGGCTTCGTTGAACCGTAGCTGTAGCTGAGGTCGAGTCGGACATGGTATTCCGTCATCGCCCAGGTAATGGCATCGTCGAGTTCCTGCGACGCGGGAACCCGCCGCAGAAGGTCCGGGTAGAATGAATGCAGCGCGTTCACCACAGTTTCGAGGTTCTCCCGTGAAGATGCCGCAACATCCAAGTCGATGACATGGTCAAATCCGCTGTCGGGTTCACGCTCCGTGTTAATACCTTCGAATCGGTTCAGGAAACCTTCCATAATGCCGATAATCTCATCCGAGTTCTTCGTTCCGGCGCGGATGGTCTGGTGATTATCTCCTCGCTCTAAGACACGTTTCCGCGTAACCTCTCTGATTGAAGGAAGTAAAACGTCTTTTGGTTCGTGGACGTAGTGGAGAGCTACAAACCGTGCGCCCGGAGACCCAGGGAGTATATCTTCCATGAGCTGCTCTCTCTCCCGCCTCTGATGGTTGTTGCGGTCCGCTATCACAACTGGTTTGTCCGCGAGGAGATTGGCGATTTCGAATGCAAACCTCTTCGGTTTGTTCTTTTGTTTGGGAATGTTATCGTTCTGAACATGGCCCCAGCCGAAAAGCTTGGTTAGAGCGAGAGCCAGGGTTGTTTTCCCACAGCCGAGCGAAGCGATGGGTGCTAGAATGACGTCTCGGGTCACTTTATCAGGTTTCCCGGCTTCCATCGCGATGATATCCGATCCCTTTAAGCCTCTCTCCTTGAGAAACCCTTCTCGCATGGAGATGATTCCATGGTTCTGCTTATAGAGATCGCCCAGCTTGGGATTCTGGGAGAGCTGCCTCCGAGCATAATGAAGATATTCTTCGGTAATTTTCTGGTGCTTTCTGATGTTCGGAAACTTCCCGGCAATGATCGCTTTGGTACATTCACGCCACTGTCGATACATCAGGTATGGCTCCTCAAATTTATATTTGAAGAACCAGTCCCTGTACGGGCCTCCGCCTTCGCTTAGCTGGCACCGGATGACAAATCCCTCCGTCTCACGGCCATCCCAAGTGCCGGTCTCAGCGCAGTGATCGAGGAACTTCTTGACCGAATGGATGTCGTCGTATACGAGGTATTTGGCCTTCTTGAAACCCCATGTATCTGCAAACTTATGTACTTCTGAGCTCGGCAATGTCGCGAACTGCGGCACGTTGAAATTGAGCCCGTGAAGATATATTCCTGCAGCTACCGGACCGTAGGCAAGGACATGCTCCTCGAAGCTATCGTCGCAGAGCTCTCCAACTGCGGTAAGGTTCAGCCTGCGCAACTCTCTGGCCAAGTCCTTGACGGATTTCCCTGTGGAAGTAACATGACGCTCGACCCACTTTTCTCCGGCTTGGGCGTGGCTCAGGTTGGTGTCCTGTCGAACGCCAGTCGAATGCTTGCTACAAACGAGCAAGGAGCCGTCCTCCAGGCCGGAGATGAAGATAATACATCCGTTCTCCTTCACACTGAGCTCATAGGGGCCTCTTGTGTTTGTCTCGATATTTTGCCACTTGGTAGTAGGTACTTCATCGATGTTGAAGAACTTGTCGTAACCGCGCACTACAATCTCGGGAGTGCCGTCTTTCCTCTTGCTCGTGAACAGACCCCGGGCATAGGTCGGAAGATTGCTGCGTTTGTAGTCCCAGTCCATAAACCTCCATGAGTCAACTGAGATATTATCTGAGCCTGCCACGGCGAAAGTCGATTTCTTGCAGGTAAACGTTCTCTTTCCTTCGCTTCTATTCTTCTTACTGGAGGCCTCCAGGGCTCCGACCAGATGCGCAACTTCCTGAGGATCCTGTTGAACCATATTGAAATTGTTCACTATAGAGATGCACCAGTGATTGCAAGGTGTAGCTGTGTACAATGGTGATTCTTTTTATGAGGGAAAGGACGAGGAATTGAAGAGGAAGGAAGCAAAGACAACTGATGCCAGGATGATTAGAGGGAGTGTGTGAATGAAGCTTCTTTTAAAAACACCCCTTAACCTCAGGAAAGTGAGAGGCTACCCTTGCCTCGTGCTCGATAAGAAGCCTTGCAATGTCTGCCTGAATTATATGAGTCAACTGTGATCGTTGTGGAAGAGGAAAATGAGACTGCACCAAAAAAAGATGAGTGAGATCATACCAATGTCTGATTTGCGGGGCAGCAGAGGGGAAAGGAAAATAAAAAAATCATATATCACCGCCCGACTTAGCACCACCAGCTGCTCAATACACTTTCCTTCTGGTTAACAACTCAGTACACTCAGTACCGTTGCCATCTGCACTATCAGGTACGGAATTTCGGATGATTTAGTCGTTTCTGTGCGGTCTGGATTCGACCCTGATTTGGTTGACTCATTCGTTAGGCCAGATCTGTTGCTTTTGTACAGCCACGATGACTCAACCGAATCCCTACATTCTGGCCGCTGAAAACCCTTCCGCCCTATTGACTCTTTTGCGCTCGAATCCAGCCATCGCATCCTGTCAAGATGAGCACGGATACTCTCTCTTGCACGCCGCGGCTTCGTATGGCCATGCCGACCTCCTACGCGCACTTGTCGGAGAGTTTAATGTGGACGTCAACCTTCTCGATGAAGACGGCGAGACGTGCCTTTTCGTGACGGAGAATGCTGATATCGCCAAATGTCTCGTTGAGGAGCTAGGTGTGGACTATAATAAGAGGAACGACGAAGGGTTAACGGCGCAGGAGACCATTGAGAGCGACGGCGCATTTCCCGATGTCGCAGCATACCTCGCAAAAGTTATGGGCATATCTCCATCAGCACCTGCAGGCTCATTATTAGACGCCTTGAATGCTCCTCCTCCGTTGCCGCCGAATATCAGAGTCAACTTGGGAACAGTATCGGAGGAGGAAGCGAGCGCAGGGACGGACCAGGTTGACCCAGAGTTTAAACGCCGGATTGACGAGCTCGCCGCGCGAGAAGACTTCCACAGCGAAGCTACGCAAAACCAACTACGACAGCTGGTTATGGATGCCCTTAATGGCTCCAATATTGAGACACAGGACAGAGATGTTCGGCGGAGAACGGAATAAGACAAAAGAATCGGAGGCGTGATGATGAGAACAAATACCAATAAGCCATATAGCACTGTCCATGTTATATTACCGCCATGGTCGGAAGAATACACACACTGGGACTTGTTACCGAGCTGGCAAGGCCTCCGAACTCGAGGGTGAAACCGAGATGAGTCAACTTTGGCCAATCGAAGACCTGGAGACCTACAGAGTCGTCGTTTTCTTCGCATATCATCCAAGATGAGGATATGGACTCCCGATGTCATCACAAGGGCGTATGTGCTGTCCAATTCGTGTAGATCTTGATGGTTCGGTTTCTTCGCCAAGACCAGCAAGTCTTCGAAAGATGATATGCACATCCCTTGGGATATCCAAGGAGAGGCGATAGCCCTTCGCTATTGAGGCTTCATTGTATTGTCATGCTGATGCGTCTATCTTTACGGATGTTCATGTTTCGAAATTTGTAAATACCTATGGTCACTGTCCCAGGCGCCGAATTACTGCTTCTGCAGTATTCAAGCTCGGGGAAAACGCAACTATTGAAGACTCGACGGCTTTTCACTTTCAAGCTGCACTAGAAATTATCTTCAGGTACTCAACTATGCGCTCCTGAAGGACGCTGAGTACCTTTCAATCTAAGGTTATGTGTAGAGAGTCGTCCGCGAAAAACAACAATTTACTCCATATTCTGGACTACGCACGTGATTGCGGCAGAGCAGCTTCCCCGCATCCGAAACTACTACGAGTATTCTCTATAGAGGACAATACATTGAAGGCAGAGGATTACGCACATCATTATCAGACCCAATTCTGTACACATCTCTGGACTACAGACCTTCCCTGTGGCTTTCGTTATGGATCCTGCACTCAATCCAGATACTCCTCCGCCCCCGCCTCCGAAGCCAAGTAGCCATGAAACAAGTCGAAGGGGGACACCGCAGCTCAATCAGTCCATACCAGGCACGCCGCAGCAGCAATTTCGAGGGTATTATCAAGCTCAGGAAGGGAAAAATGGAGAAAACAGATATCAGTCCCCTTCCATGACTGAAGCGGTCCATGCCAACAACATCAACTCTCTTCCGAAGCCTCCAGCAGTGGAAGAAGGCTGGCTACCAGACGTTGTGAAAGACAAATCGTATGTATTTGTCAAGCGCCATTTTTGCGATGGGATTGATACACCGAATACTAACTTGTTAATTTTGTAGGACCGTTGATCTGCAAGCAATTCTGAAAGACCCCAATCTTATCTCCGCTCTAGCAAGTCAACACCCGGCGTGCACAGCCCAACAACAAAACCTCCAGTCTCTCCTCAAATACAATCAGGATCTGACCAAACATCTTCTTGAACTGCAAGCGCGCCTGGATGAACAGCGCGCTTCTACGGAGACGCTTCTTCTGAAACACCAGTCGCTAGAAGTTTCATGGAGAAAGAAACAATCAGAAATGGATGCTGCCTTGGCGCCTTGGTCGCCCAAGGCTCTTTACCAACGGCTATCAGCCTCTATTTCCGAGCAAGAGGCTGTTTGTCGAGCGGTGGAGGAAAGCTTCCTCGAAGAAGAGCATCATGGGCGAGCGACTGAAAAGGAGGTCGCAGATTGGGTCAGACGAGTACGAGCTGAGGCTGCCAAGTTGGCAGCAAGAAGAGAAGCAAAGGCTAGATGGGACGAAGGCAGAGTTGGTGGATGGAGATGAACGATTGGTATGTTTCAGCGCCTTGAAAAATACATCTACTATCCTCATCCTGATCAAATAACTAATATACACAGAAATATCTCTTGTTGGTCCGAGATACTATCTTCAAGACTGGCATATTCAACGTTCCATGTGTCATGCACACATTATTACCTGAAACTCCGCCGCTGTGTCGAAATATTGAATGTCTCTCCGCAGATAGAATCTTACACCAGATTCTCAGCTGCCCTCTCGACATCAGTATCCTGCCGTGTTGTCTTTCGAGTGTCGTGCGTATCAATTGGCGGGCGTCCATCTGCCTCAATTGGGAATCTGGGACACTTGAAGAACGCATGTCTCCGACTTCTTGCCGCCCAAGACCACCCTTCGCCTCGCGTGATAGGGAGATGGTACATTCGAAACCCGATCCATGCAAATATAGCGCCCATGATACTGCTAAATAGAATGTCAAAAGCGTGATGACGATAGTCGAACCAGCGGGACGCGCCAATGAAGCTGGCAACTGCAATAGGCACAAAGGCGATTACAAGCATATAGACCGGCGGGGCTGCTCCACGCTTTCGAATTGATCCATGTATCGGGCCAATCGGATTTTGGTTCAACAAAGAGTGTCCGAGGTATGGAAATGCGATTGAGAGCTTTGAACACAGCCATAAAGTCAAGTATGTCAAACCGGCAAAAGAAACTGCAAGGTGTCAATATTGTAGACCCTCTGGAGCAGACATCAGCCACTTACAAGATGAATGGCCGCTGGGGAAACTTGCAAATCCGTCATTTGCAAGTACTTTTGACTTGTTTTGGCATATCTTCCAAGTCACCAGTGTGGGGGCCCCCGCAAGCTTCTCTCCCAGGCCACCGACAGCATAAGTGGCTATATTCGAGAGATCCGGGTTACAACGCGCAAGCATGTCGGGTCGTGGCCTGCCATATAAGTCCTTCAAACCCTCGGTCGCCATCCACGCCCATGCACAAGCGACCGCCAAACCCATCCACCCTGCATTCCATTCCCATAACTTGTATCTCCAGAGTGATGATCGAGACACATTCTGGTCTTTTGTGGAGATGGGGATAAGCAGGGCTGTGATCACAATAATGACAGCCGGAGCAATCAGAGCCACCACCACTAGGACAGCGGTTGAGACTGTTTCATGCTCCGTATACGGAAAAGAAATGCTTGGGTCGGTTAGGGAGAAAGGTCTATGGTTTGGTTTGACCTTGTGAAAGCCAAATCCTATCACCGCAACGATGCTGTAAATATGTTAGTCCAACGTGTTCTTAAACATTCTTAAACATACAAGGGTTCATTGATATTCAGTTCAGGGACGATCATACACTATGAAGATCCAGTCCAGGATATAGGAAAATACTAAGCGCAACGGTATGCGACTTAGCGCAGGCCGCATCGTGAATTCAGTGGCCTTGGACTATGGATCTGATAACTGTAGGCTACGCAAGCAATTATTTTGTTGACGACTGGGTTAAGATGATGATAATTTGCGCTTGAACACTTTGATGGAATACTCGTGCCAAAGCGGTCACGCGGGCAATTATATAGTGACGAGAGAGGATGAGCAAGGATAAGAAGGATGGTTTGGGTGGCTGCTGGGATTAAAAGGCCGTCGTATCTCGTTGGCAGCGGCTGGGAACCATTAAACTCCGCCACGATTTTCCAAGAAGCCAAGCCGATTCTTTGACGGTCAATCAACTTCTCTGGAAATGTCCTACTCGTCAAATTCATTAGAGTTTTTCCATTTAACTCATTGGCCCTATTGCTCTAGGCTACATCATTTCTTTGGTTGGGCTAATATAATGTGTACCTCAAACCGACCCCTTTCCCTCCAAGTCGGTAAAGAAGTCCCGACCAAAGTCAGCGCTGCTATCATTAAAGCGTAGCTTCTTGTCGATGCCTTGAATCTTCTTCATATCTTCATCACTCAAGTGGAAGTCGCCCTCGAGGTTGGCTCTAATTCTAGATGGGGTCTTGGATTTCGGCAGTACCGAATGGCCCTGTGTGACACCCCAGGCTGAATGTGCGATTCATGGTCAGTGAACGTTGTTTCCAGCTTGAATTGGTCTGCGAGAAAACTTACCAAGAGCAACCTGCGCGGAGGACTTATTGTACTTCTTCCCGATTTCGGCCAATACCGGCTCGTCAATCAGCTTGCCAATCTGGACTTTGGAGGAGTAGATCTCGTTCTGGTTGCCAAAGGGAGAGTAATGAGTGACGTGGATGCCCTTGGATTTGTGCCAATCGACAAAGGAACGCTGCTGCAGCCAAGGATGACCTTCAAGCTGGTGTACGGCCGGCACGACCGAGGTGTTCTGGATCAAACGTTCCATCTCTGCCTTGGAGAAGTTGGAAACGCCAATGGCTTTGGTCTTGCCGGTAGACAGCAATTTCTCCATGGCTTTGTATGTCTGCGACCATGCGATCAGTGTTTGGGCACATAGGTCCGATTGGATGGCAAGCATGTACATACGTCCACGATGTCAATGTCCTCCAGGACATACTTCCCATTTTCCTTGGGAAAGAGGTCATCGCCCCGTTTCCAAGCCACGGGCCAGTGTATCAGGTAGAGGTCGACATAGTCCAATTGCAAGTCGGCGAGCGAAGCATCGAGTGCTCCCTCGACATCGTCGGGGTGGTGCTTGTTGTTCCAGAGTTTGGTCGTTACAAAAAGCTCTTCTCGAGGCACGCCACTCTTCTTGATTGCTCTTCCTACAGCCTTTTCGGTCAAGTATCTGTCCCGCGTCAGACAAATGCCGGTCGAGAACGCAAAGCCAAATCCAGACTTACACTCTCGCCGTGTCAATATGGCGGTATCCTGCTTTGAGAGCTTCTGCGACGGCGTCTTCCTGGGCATGCTCGTCCTGCCAAGTTCCGAAGCCAATGGCGGGAATCTCCGCGCCGGTGTTGAGCTTGAATTTTGTCATTTTGTGCGATCTTCCGATTCTCGACAAGTAATTATGTGTAATGAGGTCTCAATCAGCTGGCGAGTCGATGATGTACTGATAGGCACTTTCTATGGTCAAGATGTCTACTTTATAATTGAGCGACGTCTGGAAGGCAGGAAATCAAAGCCGGGATCTTAAAGTAACGTCAGTTTGACGTACAAAGTTTCTTTCTTGGTGACCAGCTAACATCAGGCCAGAGTTCCCTGGCTCAATGCGGACGAATATGACGTCTTCTTGAAACAGACTGACGGCATAGAATGGGGATTTGTGGTGCCATTTGTCATTCACGGCAAGCCCTCTACATTTCGACTGGCCAGAAGTAGAAATATTCTAGAAAGACTCCTGGATTATATGCCTTCAAAACAGCTGGCTCTTCAGCTCTTAGCTCTTGTTTTAGCCTCTGTTGCAGGTGATATCTGAACTGAAGCCAAAATCATAGTCTCCAACTATAAGCTCAGCTTCCAGGCCATTGTTCATAGGCCAAAAATGGCTCATTCTCCTATCTCATTATCTTTAACCATCAAGTAGATAATTCAGTGCGTAAGTACGGAGTATACTCCATTGCATTAACCATTTTCTTGAAAGGGACCTCATCTTTATGAACGGTCTCCATACCGCGGTGTGTGTGTTTGAAAAGTTGTCAAACAGCACTTATGGTACAAGCCGTTTACCGCACGCTAAAGCTTCCTCCTATAAAATTTCATCTCAACCCACAATATTTTTTTTACCGACGATCATAGCTTGCAACTACAAGCCTGACAACGGACATGATGATTGTCCGATCTTGGATTTCTTGATCATTCTCTTTCCAATGATTGCTAACAGTTATGTTTCGCATTGATCACTTTTGCGTAGAAGAGGTAAGCTTCTCAATGTTGTTTCCATAAACACCATCTCTCTCTACAGTGCAGGATGAATTCCTTAACAGGATATCCACGTCCGAAAATTCATGAAGGACCCATTTAAAGTCTCTAGAATTACTCTGATACTTTCCAACATGTTATTGGATCACCTGCAGTCTTACTCTTGCATGGCTTGCTGACGTTATGTCTATCAGAATATCCTTGTCAAACTACGAATGACTTGAGCATCTGGAATATATCCCATCAATAATAGTAAAAGGTATGCGGACTCTGATTTTCTCAACTTTCTTTCCTTTATATTGAGTGATGACTCTACGACACGCTAAGGCATTCCTCAAACTTAATCACCATGTGGAATCTGTCTAAACTTAAGTTTCAGCCTTGTCTGACTACTTCATATCATGCCTGAATTGTTCATCTCATTTGATTGTTGGCCTCGATGACTAACGAGCTGTGCAATAGGTACATACCATCCGCTACACTCCAAACTGCCTTGACAGCCCCTCGATGAAGATATCTTGAACGAACGGGCGGACAGATTGTGTGCATCTTCCCCATCCATCAAAAGTAGAGCGTACAAACTCTGCGGATGTCGTGAAGGTGTATCACTTGTTGAGAACTCGTCACCTGAGTTTTTCGCGGCTGTCTTCAGTTATCGTACTTTTGGACTTTCGGGCACGACTAACAAATTGTACTAGGTACTTCCTATTCTTCCCAGTCTCCCACCATTCGTCCATGCATTCCTCAGTCAACTCTATATGATGAACACGTTATTCACACTGTTTGATCTGGGCGCTCACGCGTTCTGGAAATGAACATCATACACAAAAAATCTGATTTAATGAGGTTAGTACTTCAAGGTCCTGGTTGCTCCAATATATGCTAACTTATAAACAGCCTGACAATAGTTGACACTTCATCTCGCTTTCATCACACACGACTTCTTCTGGACAGACTTGCTGATTGTCCGAATCTTTATAGGAATACCTGAATCGTAGTGATTGCTAACGACATTTGCAGTGTGAGTGCTACCCCTACTCTTTTGCCATAGATGTTGTATGATGATCTCTTGATTCGCTGTGTTCTTACTGAATACATCTTGAAGAAAAACATCATTTCACCTTGGAGAACTGATACCTCGTCTTCTCTGATCATCAATCTTGGAACCCTGAAAGTTGCTGTGGCTAACTTGTCACTTGCAGACGATTGCTTCGTTATAGATCCTAGGGAAATGCAAATAGTTTCAATGCTTCTTCATAAAATCTTGTAAAACATCACATGAATTGCAGCGTATTCCTCACTCCATGAATAGACCATGTTTCTTGTGCCATCCTTCAATGCTGTCGTCGCCGTAGACATCATGCACCGATTTCTTGCCTTCGGGCCATCGTACCCAGGATGGCTTGGAGTTTCCCAAGACACAGACCATCTCGTCTGGGACCGGCAACTCGGTGTCGATGGCAGACGCGAAAGGATGAATCAGCTCCGGCCAGTGATGGTCCCACAGCCAGAGCATAGTACTGCAATTGGAACAGAAGTTACGTTCAGACGAACATTTTGCCTCGTTCGGAGTGCCACGGTCCTTTATGGCGTTGTATTTCCTGCCTTCGTCAGATCAACGCTCGACCAATAGACTCAGCAATCGATGCCAGGCATATCTAGGGTCAATACACACTTGATGAGATCCTTTCCCTTGGTGATTTTGAGGCTATCGGCGATACCTCCCAGGTTGACGCTGCCGCTATAGCCACCAACCTTGCGGCAGATGCTACATGCACAAAGCTGATAAGGAACAGGTGTTTGAGAATCGAGAGTAAATTGCACCCCGCCGCACTGGCAGCTTCCTTCAAGTTTCCTGTGTCCACAGTATCAGTGGTTGCTGGTCTGATATGAACGGCACGCGGAGTATGTATATGAACGCAGGTGCTGACCACCAATTTGTGGACTTACATGGGCATCCTGGCGGGTATATTTGTGGTCGAATATGGAATTATCAGATCCTAGAGCTGACTGTCTTGGGGGAAGATATTTTGGACTACCTTACAGTTGCTGAAGTCTGGGAACAACGTCATGTATATATAGTTCGCGTAATGTGGAGAATCCAAGCATAGCCATACTTCCGAGACAATTCATCCAATGGAGCAAACATACCAGATCCAGAGCATTCTACCCAAACCAGTTAAAAGTCCGCGAAGGATAGGCCATAGCATCAACCTAAGCTCTCCCGTGCTGATGCGAATGTAGCCTTCGCGCGCCTCCGAATGGTTGATATGATGATCTCACTTGTTTGGACTGTTTGCCCTGTTTGAGAACGGTCTGTTTCGGCCTTAATTTTCAACATCCGACAGCTCAACTCCGTACAGTATTAACTCATTGGCTAATTCGTCTCGACTTCACATTCCCATAACTACTCACTGTCTGATTGAGTCATTGCTCGTATAATCAATCACGATGAGTTTCGGAAGCCCTGGTGGTGGCGCAACCAATGTCAAGCCTACCCCGTGAGTCCTATTAAACTGCTCCGAATTCTTGGGTTACGCGCTTCGTGACCGGACATAAGACAGCAGCTAACCGGATCAACTAGTCCTGAGCGAGGGAGTTTCCCACTTGATCATGAAGGTAACTTCCATTGCCCGTGTTGTCTTTAAATCCCAGTGGAGAAGAGCGTCGATCGGATCGTTCCAGCAACATATCGGTTCTCGAAAGAAACGAGCATTGTCATGGAATATTGCTACTGCGGATGGGGCAAGATTACGGACTAACAATGTACAGGCGAATGCAAGCACCTTATTTCCCAGTATCTGAAATGTCTGAAACTGAGGAGAGGGGTTAACGACGAAGAGTGTCGCAAGCTAGCCAAGGGATACCTGAGCTGTCGAATGGATAAGTATGTCTGGGCCGTACCAAGCCCGATGCAAATCATTAATCTCGCAAGAATGGGTGCTAACATCCTTGGTCGAGCAGGAACCTGATGGCGCCGGACGACTTCAAAAATCTCGGACTCGTGTTTGAGAAAGATGAAGCGCAAAACGACAGAACGGCAGGGCAGAATGCAGGGACAAAGTCATAGTACCCTTGGCGACTGAAGATGGGGAGTGTACGATATACTGGGCATCATGAAGTCAGGAATATGAATGCCTCAGCTCTCACGACTATTGCTATATTGCTCCCGGAGTTATGGGGATTTACTCTATCTGTATATATTGGACATACGCATCTCTTGTATATCAACATGCAATCAATAAATGCCGTGCATGACCAATGCGTGCTGGGGTGGACCAATCTCAAGCAGTCGAATGAAAAGCGTACTGATGCGCTGACGGTAAATGTACTTTCAAGTGAACACTGTTTTGTCGATTTTGGGCGATAGATATAGATTGTCAGTAAGAGGTTAGTGGCTCATCTGGAATCTGTTATTCTTGAAAGTTGATGCGGGGAAACTTTCTTTCGATCTTATCCCGCGATCGACAACCCCAAACGACCGCTCCTAGATGCTCCCAAGGAGCTCCAATTGGCTTATGCTCAACCTTTTTTCCACAGAAAGCCACACAGGACTAATGGAATAACCACTACCATCAAATGTCGTCAATTGCACGTCCACCAGATCCCTGCCTGGTCGCCATCATCTTAATTGTCCGCTCCCGTGCGGGCCCACGCTTCGTGTTCCACTACCCTCCCAACCCACTCAGCGAGAATGGCTTGAGACCTGTGCGCAAGGAACGACGCACTTCGCGCTCGAAGAACGGACAAGGCTACAAGAGCAATGAATCAAGCTCCAGCGAGGAGAGTGGTTCCAGCTCCGACGACGACGAGGACGAGCACCAACGCCAGCTTCAGAGCCAGAACCAGAGCCAGAGTCACCTCAGCGGGAGTGTGGTGTCGGGACGACGGTCGAGTAATTTCGGCCTCGACGATCATGTCGCCATGTCTGTCTCTCCCGGCGGAGATTCGCAGCGCGCTGGGTCGATGGGATCTGGTCGGACGTCGTTTCGCAAACGAGGCGGCAATTCAGATGTCGAGGAGGATTCGGGTGCGGCGTCTGACAGGCAAGAGGACGGGTCGGGAGGAGCGGGTGGGCCGTATCGTCCACCGTGGGAGTCGCTTCTGGGGCTCCCTGCCGATGTCTGGGAGAAGTTATTGAGTCCATCGCCTGCGTGGCATAAGCGCCGGTTCGAGGTCGGGATCAACGACCTGGCGTTCATTGGATGGCCGGTTTTTGTTCGGGAGGACGGGACGTGGAGGAAACAGAGACGGAAGAAAAAAAAGAAGTGGCGTGCTGAGTGGGAGGGAGGTGAACTGGGCCATAACGAGAATGCGGAGGATGCGCCGGACGACGAGGACGGCGATGCTGGCGGCAACGCCAGCGGCGGCGGTGGGCTGATGGCCGCCTCGACTGAGACATTGAGTCCCAAGCAGATGGCTCTCTCAGAGGCCAAACGAGGCTCGGGATCTAGCAGCAAAGCCGCAAGGTCATCAGTTGACTGCTTGGACGGTGATGACAAGGATTCAATGACGATGTTCAACGTGGTCTTCGTGTTAGACCCTCCTTTACTGGAATACTCCATGCGCACTAGGGAGATCTACGACAATATCATAAAGAAATTCGCCAAAGCCTTGAAATGGGAGCAGGCCCGAACGGATTACGTTTGGAGAGAGGCCCAACATATATCACATCTCAAAGAAAAAGCTAAAGAGAGGAGTAAGTCGCAATGCTCAAGAACGTTCTCTGAGACGTCCAAATGCTGATGCCTCTTATGTAGGAACCTCCCTCAACACCCTTTACACGGAGTTGATCAATCAATCGTCGCTCGCTAGGGCTATATACACCGTCTACACTAGCATATCCGCATCTAAAATTGCGTCCGTTCAGCTCAGCCCGGATGTTTCCATATCGCTTCAGATACCTCCTCTAACCTCGACACCTTATCTGCCTGGACCCACTGATAAAGCATACCCGGGTCTCTGGCTCACCACTGCAGATAGTGTCACCCCGGTGGAGGACCCTACTGCCGATGAAAATACCGCACCGCATCAGGTGCTAGCCAAACACTTTGCGCTGTTGTTGCTGGACAACGAGGCGGCAATTCTCAAGGACGTCGAAGCGTCCGGAGGTGCTCTGGCACCTGCTCTTGCTCACTATCTTCGGTGCTCCAAGCCAACGAAATCCTTTGCGCAGATATCCGCATCGTCCGGCATACCCCTCTCGACCATACAAATGCTGGCCAGTCATCTTGTTTACTGGCGCCGTGCACGCGCCATACCCCCAATTCACCAACGTGATACGTACATTGTATCTCCGAACTGTGACTTGAGCAAGCTAGAAATAGCCACTGCTGCCTACCAGGTAGCATTTCCCACCCTCCCCAGCTTGCCCAAGATGCTTTCTGCCCTGAGCGGGACACCGAGACCATATGGAAGTTTTATCCCGAGCAAAGACCATAAGGAAACATATTTTGCTATCTTGGCGTGGCTGCTAAGGGGGGGGTGGGTGACTCAACTTCGATCATTTGCAAGGGTCAAAGTCACCCCGGAGATAAAGATGGCCGTAGAAGTTGCTCTTCGCCGTGAAGAAGTGGACAAGTATCTGCGGAAAGGCAGATCTTTGGAGGCGCAGAAGTCTGCTGATGGCGAAAACGGGAACGAGGCGGATGAGAACGACGATGCTAGCTCGTCCTCGTCGTCATCGCTGGCAAGCCAGGGTAGCGGGGATGAGACGCCAATGCCTGGGCGTTACCAGCAGGAAAGCAACCTACGTCTCTCACATTCCATGCTAGATCGAAACACGTCGCTGAGAACGTCATCTTTGATCCTGTTCCCTCATCGCGCCTCACCGCTGGAGTCACGCTGGTTGGAACAGATTGTCTCTCGCTTTCCTGAGCACCCTCGAACCGCCGGCCGCCATCGCCGGGGAGAAGGATCGAATGCCGCTGGAGGTGAGATAGACCCTGAGTATGCCGCCCTAAGCACTCCAATGAAGGATCTATGGCCTACCTATATCAAGTATTTTAATGGGCTTGACGCGCTTGAGAAGATCCCGGTACGCGAAGGTCTCAAGCGTAAGCTTGTGTGGCAGGTCCTCACACGCTTGGGCCTGGTGACTTCCCAACAGTCTTCTATTGAACTGGATCCCAGGGAACAGGTGCTGGTTAGCGTGAGGCATTGGTGAGCAGCGGTACCTTCGAGAACGGGCTTGTGAGCCTCGACTGTTCAACTATAATTGCACCTCACGCATCTCTTTCATAAGCGTTTCCACAGAACCCTCGCTCTCATGATGTTTGAAGTGATTCCAGCAGTCTCTTAAATTAGGCTATGCTCAGTCTCAGGATCCTGTTGGTATCACGTGATATAAGTGTCATCCCACCACCGTAGGGTAACTATCTTACTCTGACTGCCCGTCTGAAATAAGCAAGCTGCATTTACGGGCTTGGGTTCTGGGTCTTGGACAAATTTAAAATACTACTACATAGGGACACCGAGCCCCGAAGAATTCCGACATCATTCATCCCATGGGTTGTTGGTGATACTCGGCAGCATAATGCAGGCTCAGCCCTAATGGCAACGAACCATGCGGGCTGCTAAGAGCTAAGCGACTACTTTGCCCATGTAACCGTTAGCGGCGTTACAGGTTACAAAATCAACCATGCACGTTCTTCTCGAACAAATCCATGATGTGACTAGTAGGAATTAGGAATAGGTCTACCGCAATTTCGTCCAGACCATCGAATCTCCCCACGGCACATGCCGGAACGCCATAATTCGGTGCATCACGTGAGATTGAACATTGCATGTGTATTACACAGAAGGAATGGAAGGGTCTCGTTATGTAACTGTCAGTCGACCTGCCCTGCAGCTACACCCTGTAGAAGGTGAACGCTGCGCATGAGATACACACTGGATGGTGTATGCTTGCAGTCTGGTGGATGAGTTGAACTGCTCTGCAAGAGGCCCGGTTCATCAA